TTCACTAACATCTACCTTATCTTAGCAATTGTTGCTTGCCTGTCACCACTTGTAATAGTGAGCTTTCACGACAGAATGGCAACAGGCTATTACTTGTGTTTTGTTGTAATCTTCGCTCTTACTTACTGTGTTCTGGTCCTTTACTAAAAGATTTGTTTAAGGGAAGGTAAAATTATGTCAGCAAAATGTGAAGTGAACTTTTTTGTTTCTGAGGTGTTGCATGATGTTAAATACCCTGCAAGCAAGTTTTTTAAGGCTAGGAGGGAAGGGAAAGGATAGTGGATTAGGCTAGGTTTGGTTGAGTTAAAACTTTTTGGTCCGGTCAAATGACTGTATCCATAGCCATCCAGCATCATTGGATTAACACATCATCGCCATTCAGTTAACTCTTTTAAGTCTCAAGAGTGACTAACAACAATTTTCTCCTAACAATTGTCAGTACAAAATGAATAGAAAAGGTTATGAGAATTAATCAAAAGGTCAATAAAGAGAAAATGCTTTGTATATACCGTAAAATTCCGAAAATAAGCCCCGGGGCTTATATTTTTCAAAGGCCTTTTTTGAGGGACGTATTTTTGGAGGGGCTTATATACGGAGGGAAATTTGCGTTTCAAAACCGATTGGGCTAGCCTTATAGTTGGAAGGAAATTTACCATTTTTGCTTGTTTTTACTTTGTATTTGAGGGCAGTTTTCCAAGTACAAGCCCCCCGGGGGCTTATATTTGGAGGGGTGATTTAACGGAGGGTTTTTTGCGTTACCAGTTTGGGGGGCTTATGTTTGGAGGGGCTTATACATGGAGGGGCTTATTTTCGGAATTTTACAGTATCAAATAAACATTTTTCTCTCAACTAATTCTTTAAGAAAACAAAAGGAAATCAGTTTGGAGAATTTGCATTTGAATATTGGGCCTTACAAGGGTAATCTACGTTTTAAGCTAAAGACACTACATGTAAGTACCTGCCCGAAAAGTTTGGGCAAGCTACAGTGTAGTACAGTGTCATGTACATAGCAAGAAGATTCTTGTTCAAGTTTGTTTATTCCAAATTAACTCTACTAAAATGCGAAAAAAAACAGACAATTATTGCTTCAATTAAATTGACAAGTGGAACTAACAACAAAAATATGGACTATTGTTAATTGGCCAGACTGGAAAATACCATGATATTCTATTAACTGTCGTTTGGGTGGCTCTTCATGTAAACCTTACGTTTTCAATATATTTTCTGTTTTTTGCATGAACTGCACGTGCAGTGTATGTAAATTAACAAAGTGCACGTGCAAATCCTGCTGAGAACAAAATATTTAACAATTATTCCTCGAGCCCGAATGGGCTCTGAGTCAATACAGGCCTCATGGGCTATTCACTGAGAGGCCATAAGGGCAAGAGGAAAATTGTTTTACTAAAATCCAACTAGTTTGTCAAAAATATCGAGAATAAAAAACTTTTAGCTGGTTAAAGCTAGACTTTAATCCTTTTTTGCTGCCAAAAAGCCCGCGCTTTTTGCTACTAGTGGGCTATAACATATATAGCCTAGTAGTAGCTCAACCAATCAGAGCGCAGCATTGATAATAGACCACTAGTTGGATTTTCGCAAATTGCAAAAGTCGCTTTTTCATTAAGCGCCACCCAAACAGAAATTTAAAGAATATTATGGTATTTTCGAGTTTGGCCAATACCAATCATTGTTGTATTGTCCAGACTTGCCATAGTTGAAGTTAGTAGTAATAAAAAATAGTTATATAATTATTACTAACTTATTATTCATCCAAAGTATTTCACCATTATTAGCCCCGGCTAATTCTTCTCAAACAACAGGCATTTACCATTGGAAGATGAAGCAATATACCATCGATAATATTTGATGGTATATTGCTTGCATCTTTCAAGTATGGTACAGTGTGTATTCATCAGGTGTGGCCACAAATGAACCAAAAAAGAAAATGGCCTTCATGGCTATCCGAAGACAAATAGATGAATTTCTAAGGAAAACTGAACAGAAAAAAGGAGGAATAAGCAAAACATATTGCAAAGGGCTGTTATCTACTTTTTTAGTAGTATCTGCAAGGAAAAACATATGTCTACATCCTGAAACAGTAACAAGAAACATACATGTAGGCCAAGGAGTTGAAGAAAGTCTACGAGGAGGTAAACTAGTTAAGAACTTGGAAATAATTTTGAATGAATGATAAAACAATTGCTGAATTGGGCCCTCATACAATGTGAAGAACTATGCAGATCTCAGACCTCGGCCTTTAGCCTCTGTGGACAACATCCTCTTTTTCTACATAATTCTTTACATCCTACTCAGCCTCAATCAATAAATTGCAAAAAATATGGTGACAATGCTTACAGCTGTATGTCCGCTGTATGTATTTATTAACAGGTTTTTATGCAGTTTGGTGATATAAAAAGACATCAATTTTGGAAAAGTACACATACAAATGTCTGATGGGTACCAAAATTTTCTTGCCATCTTTAATTCAGTCTTAGAAGTCCTGTTATGACAGCAAAAATACGGGAAAAAGGAAACGAATTTTAAAAAAGGATGAAACAAACACTGACAGCCCTAAAAATAATAATTGGTGTGAATGAGTTAATAGATTTTAAAAAATAACAATGTTATTCTTGCTGGAATTTTTGACTGCGTAGTGCACTTTGGAAAAGAAATGATGACGATCAACATGAAAAAAATGGAGTACGAGTAGTGGCAACTTTCACCGTGAATATTCCAAAAGTGTCCTAGTGAAAGTAAGCATAATACACAAGTCAAGTATATCATACAGCACTTATTATAAATAAAATTATTTTGTGGTCTACAGTATTACATGTATGTTCATGTAGACTTGTGGAAATATGTACGAGAATGTAGTTTTAACCTTTTTTTAAAACGTCATTGGAACAAAATTAAAAGTGGTGTGACACAGCGCACAAAGAAATTAGTGTCCGATAGCCAAGGGCTTAGAAAAGTGGATTCTGCTATCCGGCTGGTGAATTCTGTTTTCAACTTGCCCGACGGGCAAGTGATGCTTTTTGAGTGATTTGAATAACAGAAGAACTGTGAAATCAATTCTACTTGTCAGAAAGTTTTTGGGGCTAGTTGAAATGATGTCTGGGCTAGTAAATGCTACCTTCAGCTTGCCTGAATGGCAAGCTGTAAAAATGATTTTCTTTGCACCCTGTGTGACATATTCAATTGCAAGACACACAATTGACGGTTTGATTAATCAGGTTTCTAATGTACAAGTGAATTGAGGCCTACAAGCAAGGATCTTTCTTTTAAAGGAAAAGAAAACTGACTGGCTCATAATGATGAGAAATTTCCAGGGAAAAAGTAATACCTTCCAACATTACCCTTTTCTGCTTTCACTGATAAACAAAAAATCACTTTGGCAATTCTCACTTCATCACCCTTGCAACTTAGCAACTATATATGGCAGCAAAGCCAAGGAAAATGTCACTCTCGTTCTTTTAGAGTGATAATATTTTATGTAGTTTGTTTTTCATTTTGTTTTCTTTGCCTTATGGCACTGGGCTATGGATGCCCAGAGTGTTCATTCACAGGAAAGTTTTTAAATCCAGAGACTTGCATTGTTCACTGCAAAACCTTGAATGTGACCATCTGGCATTTTTGTCATGAGGGACAAAAGCAAAGAAGTACAGAAAAATGTAAACCACATGTGCAAAAGCATGAAGTGCACAGGGGCGGATCCAGGATTTTTTTTAGGAGGGGGTGCACTCGTCTCTTGCTCTACTTCAACACCAATAAACCACATAGTTTTTTTTTTTTTGCAGAATTCCAGTTGTATTAGAAAACCGCAGGTCATCTCAGAGGGGGGTGCACACCCCCTGCACCCTCCCCCTAGATCCGCCCCTGGTGCATCAACAATAACTTTGTGAGTGGTCTCCCACAAAATGATAACATGGCAGAAATATTTTCCAAGGTTTGTCCATATAAAAATGGAAAGTGTTCACAGTTTCTTTCGTGGCTGGCTGAACAATCCAACAAAGTAGCAGCAAGTCAATGTACTGGTAACTAATTATTCTCTATAATACTTAGATTTCCATTCTAAATTGAACTTCAGTGGGCCAAATGAAGTCATAGCTACGGAGGCACCACTATGACAGGGATAGTTGAATGTCGAACAACATAGTCACTAACACTCCCAAGTAATGTTCTCCGCAGCTTGCCCAGTCCACGACAGCCCATCACAATACAGGTAGCTTGTTCTTTCTTGATGTAGCTGACTATTACTTCTCCTGCCCGGCCTGTGTCATGAATCAACTTGTATGAGAGTTTATCCTGTTGACAAAGGAACAATCAAGACAAAGTGATGTTGCAACAAATTGACTGTTAATAACTGCTGTTGGATATTTGTATACTCGATCCTTACAGTATTTATGACCAAACCCTTATTTTTCCCCCACGAAAATTTCCTTGACATGTCACTAAGGCACCATTATGTGAAGAAAACTTGTCCCATAGACTAAAGGGACACTCGCCTACCCGAGCTACCCTGGGCAAACTTACTTTTCATACAATTCACTTGGAGAACTGTTAACATAAGAACAAAAAGTAGGCTTCGTTAGAAGGGTGACCCACTTGGCTGGGTCACCTTTCTTTGATGGTAAGCTACAATCATGGAAAAATGTGTTGGGACAGTTGTACAGTTCAAATGTTTTTTAACACACACGAAATTGTATCCCCACGCTAATAACACTGCATGTCCCTACTCCCTCCTCCCACCCTACAGACAGTGTTGAAACCGTCAAGGTACAATTCCATTGATCTTTCAACATTGTATTGGGTGGGGAAGGGGTAAGGGATATGGATTTGTAAACTGACAGCACTGCTTTTTACAGCATAAAGTTCTTGTGATACACATAGAATAAATTACAGTTATGCTCTCACTGTCCCAAGGACTTTTGTCCAGGATTGTAGGTCACTGTCCCAGCTGGTCCAGCTTTTCACCAAATAAACACTTTGGCTCACCCAGCCAGGTCAACTCAGTCAAGGCAAAACAATCACAGCATACATAAATACACTTGGCTTTTGGCAAAAGGATCAATTTTTTTCTCATAAAAATGCTCTCTAAAGATAACTGGGCTGGGATGACAAGCCTCTTTCCCAGGACAACGTTTCTCCATGTAAAGGGGGCCTAAGAAAACTTTTGTGTTTCATTTGAAAGCAAAGAGATCATTTTTCATGCTCTATATATAAACATTAATATAATACCGTAAATGCACCGTTGAGGTTCATAAATGTTATGACCAAAAGTACTCATGGCAATTTTTATAAGCTTGCATTTTCCTTAATTTCTTCTATAGCAAGAAACTTCAATTCAGTAATATGAAAAATTCAGTTGATTCATTGACCAGAAAATAAGCTCATAATGGACCGTACCCTTTTAAAACCTCAAGTAATGTACAAGCTACATTAATTTTTTTGTACAAATCTTAGAATGTTGCTCTAGTCAAAAGAAAAAGAGAGAGAGAGAGCTCTAGATATTTGTTTACAATAATAACAAACACAACCTGACTAAAACAAACTTTAGCAGTACATGCATCTTGTGGATCCGAGGTCAGCTACCTTAATTAAGTGAATGTCACAGTTACTTATAATATTGGTATATTCATTTCTGTCACTGTACCTTAAGTGCTACAAATTTCTGGTCATACTCTTTGAGCAGGAACCTAGCCTTATCTTGTGCCTTCTGAATTACGACACACCATTCATCATAGCTGTTCTTGAAGTCTACACTTGCTATCAAGGAAAAGACAACAAAAAAATTTACAGATGAAGATTTATCTTTAGAACCTGCACCATAAATTATAACAAAAAAATGTTTGTAAACAGTGATGCCTCCTATAGCTGGTTTTACAACTGCACAGAAGTAAAGAACCTTTTGATTTTAGTAAAAAATAAATCTTACGATCTAGTGAAAACCAGACTGCAAGAGTTGCCCTCAGAAGCAGAAAAACTAAAGTGTACCTTACTATTATGCAGATTTTGTAGGAAATTACGTGATGTGTAATGCTTGTGTTAATAATGGCTTAAATAGACCCAAACCAAAGAAAATATTACATTGCATGAGAGGAAATTAACATGATTAAAGAGCAAGTAACATTTTTAAATGAAGGAAATGAGTATTGTGGTTGGTTAATCTGCTTTTCTCTAGATCAATGAGTCAGAAGCGGATACTGGAACTACAAAATGAAAACATTCTGACTGATCCTGGCAACTCTGAATGATTCTGTCAAGCTAATGACACTGCTTACATCTAGACTGTATGTAGAATTTGTACAACTCTGATTTTTATTTTCACTAGGTTGGAGCAAAAATGCATGTATGACTGGACTCACTTTTAAGGCTAAAGGGTTTTACTGCTCAAGAATAAAGTGATAGAAATACAGTCAAACCTCATTTTATGGACTCCTTGTTATTATGCACATGTTTCCTTTATTTTGTCCCTGGGGAAAACCCTTAAATTGTCCCTTAATTCAACCCCCTTAATATGGACACCCAATAATGTGGACAACGAACACTTGTTGCGTGTCCAGTCTACAGATTCTCATAGAAATTCAACCTCACTAATGCCGACACCTCATTGTAAACTGTGTGAGCCTAGTATAATACAGGTAGACCTTTTAAAGGTGAAAAACCCTTCAGTAGACAGCTTGTCATTATTGCCGGAGCTACAATACACCAGAGAGAATGATTTCAGACTACAAATTTTTGGCATCAAAGAAATTGTGCAGAGAAAGGTCTTGACCAAGTAATATAGAGATAAACAATTTTTGAGTGTTAATTTTGTGATTGTAATCCCTGGAAGGACAGCTTTTTTGAAGGTTAACGTTAACGCTAATGTCTTCTTTTATTTATTTAGTATTTTGTTCTAATAAAAAAATTTTTCTTATTTTGATAAAATCACCTGCTTTATATGGACATCCTGCTAATACAGACACTCTCCATATAATTTATGACCCCTTCATTATCTGCATTAATGGTTTTTGACTGTATATTTGATTAACTTTACCTTGGGCCAGAAATTCAGCTGTGCACATTGTGGTTTATCTTTGAGTCTTTAGGGTCTACGTACATGTACTGTTACAGAAATATTGTCTTCACAACTACAATTTTATTAACTAACTGCAGATCTAGAGGTTTTACCTCCTCTGTTTATAATAAATAAACATTACTGTTTAACATCAATTTAATGCTTCAAAATGAAAATCCTTACTGTGTTTGGCTGACTGCATGGGAGGAGGGTCAAAGGCATGTAGGAAAACAACTCTGTCACCCTTTAAGTGAAGATGTGCAAGATACCCTGTTCAAAATAATGAATAGAAACTGTTATGATGTTGAAGAAAAGAAAGTCAAATGTGCATTGGTGAAAATAGCAACTAATGAAATCATTGCTATACAAGTTAACTATTACTATAGATAAAAATCACATGTACATGTATTATCATCATCAATTATTATTGTTATTATTATTAAAGTTAATGAAAGCCAATAATATTACTGTTGGCCTTTTCTTCCATCCCATCTTCTAACCAAAGAGATAGATGTTATACATGTACATGTAAGATTAAGGATATTCAGCCAACTTTAATGAATTTTATACATGTAACTCAAAAGATTATACCACGTCATTTTTTCACATTTTGTTATAATTAATTAAGCTTCCTCTAAAGCAGTCTGAAATAGAGTGAGCTTTGTACCATGCTTACCATTGCGGGAAAATAAAAACCACAACCATATGACACTTGTATGCCTGAGGGTGAACTTTAAAAAACGTTTGAATGGTTATCAAAATAATATAGCTCTAATTAAGCCATTTTCGGACTATGTTTGAAAAGATATGTAAAAAGCAATATTCAATATATACATCAATATTCTTTATCCACACTAAAAATTTAAATAGAACTGCTACTGTTTAAAAATGGAAGTTTCCGTTAGAAATTATGATTATAAAAACTACGTTAATGTTACCAATACATGTAAATATTGAGGGATGAAATTTAACCATGTTTCTTAACAGGGCAGAATTTATGGACAGTACTTCAGAAACAGTAAATGTAGCTGGGGTTTTTTTGTACAATAACATGACAGAAAAAGATAATAGTTCAAAATTTTTGTCATTTCATTCTAGTTAAAATTTTATTAGCCACAAGCTTTTATCAATATTATTATTGGTGATTAAAGGTGACATAATGAATGATTCTTTCAAAGGCTAAATTTTACTGCAGAGCGGTCTGCATATTGAAGTTTGAAAGGGAGTATACAGTGCTAACTTTTATTAAAAGTACATTCCTCAAATTTTAATCTGCACATTTCTGGAAGCTGTTTTTGACGTTTTTTGAAAGATGAAATTTTACAATAGTTTTAGGAAATCAAAGTGTACTAACAGCACTTCTTTTGAGATACTGATTCACAACTAAGTCGTAAGAGATGACAACTTCCTCTAAAATACAAAGGCAGCCTACTATTCTTTGTGATGTCATATCATCAACTGACTTCAATCAAAGCAATATCACAATAATGGTAATTATTTCTTCTTTCAGCTGGTGTTCATAGAGTTCAATACTAAAATGATTTATGATATTCTGAATAAAATGATAAGGACATGATTATAGAGAAAGTAGCGATTATATTTAACTGCTATAACTTGACCTTATGAACAAAATTTTTCACTTTCCATAAAATTAATGTACAATACTTAATATAATTTTATATTATTTCATTAAAGGAATGGAGTTTTAATTTTCGGTTAGAAACACTTCCTGCTGTTACATGTCAGGTGCAAAAAACTCCATAACTGTAAATCTCTGCAATAATATCATTACGGTACAAATACCAAATGCAATATTTAGTATGTTAATCTGCTGTGAGATGTAAAATTACCACTATTGTTGAAAAGGAAAAAAAAATTTTTTTACAGCTTAAATGAACCCCCAGCTATATATTATCAAAGCCTCTTTCCTTGTAAACCGTTGTCACCTTGCACATGTTTTTGACCGAGAATTCTCTATTATTTACATATCCACCCTTTTACTGTACAAATAAAATTTAAAAACGAGTCAATCAAAAAGAGCTTTATTATGACGAATGGAAAAGTAAGCAAATATAAATTTGTCTTATAAGCTTTTAAAGCTTGTACAAGATGACATTGCACATTTTATTTCACATTTTTCTTTTACCTCTGTCTAACTTACGAAAAACATCTGCAGAGAAATGTGCCTTTTTGGTCAAGGTTTAAGCATGATTAGCTGATGTAATCATACAGAAACAGTGTAATTATTACTATGGTTATACAGAAAAGAACGCCTTTTCTAACACGTGTAGGTCATCGCCTCCAACTAAGAGACAAACATGTACACAAGTCAAGAATAGTAAAAACAGATAACAACCAGCAATTTCCATGTGGGGCACTATCATCCCGCACTGATCGGCACGTTGTTGTAACCTGTACTTTGTCACAGATTACAAAACTAGGTTAATATAAATAAGCTTACAACATTCTCAGCTTTTATATCGGCCACCTTTCATTCACTATCAATATCACAAAATGTCTTATCAAGGTCAGATTCTTAGCTTGACTAAGCGTATACTATCTACAGCACTCTGATACAAGTTCACTCAATGATGTCAACAGAGCCACTGATGAATGAACAGTCTGTGATGGCGAGGGAAATTGATCTTACCATGCATGCCACGTAAAACATTTGGTACAAGGTACACCACATAATATTAAATTTAAGGAAATACTCACAGTCCACTGCACGTTCACTGTTTTTGCTTCCATCCACCGGAATTATTACAACATTACACGAAGACATTATGCATCGATGATCCTTGAATTCATAAGAGTGCGCGCATAATATTTTCTAAACTCCACTTCATGGTTGTCAACAACGAGAAGCACGCAATGCACATTGGCGAATTAATATATCAACAACGTTGATTGGTCGAAGAATCTACAGCCAATCAAAATACGTGTAGTATTTACGATCGTGAAATCCTACTGCAGTATCCTGCAGTATTTGATCAGCGGGAGAGAGGTACAGCTTATTTTTTAACATTCCGTGAAAGTTTAAGAGAAACTTTGCTTTGATTGTATCGTTTTGCCCGTAAACAAATCATGTCTGAGACAAGGAAGATTTTGGTGGCGTTGGATGGTAGCAAGCATTCTGAATATGCTCTAAATTGTGAGTATTTTTTACACTTGTGTGGTTTGCCTTGGGGTGAAGGTGGGCGTGAATGTCGTGAAAGCACCATCACGGGTACGCATAGCATCTATATCTATATGAAATAAATCCTAGCTTCCTTTACAGTAACTACAGGTTAAAGAATTTTAAACTAATTGCTGGTTAACGTAGTTTATTTTTCAGTAGCTTCTTGATTTTGTTTGATGTTAATAAGATCATTATTTCAACTATTTGCAATTCGTTCCGCCACTGCTAGCGTGTCATAATTCTGGCGTCGACTGCGGGGATTGGAAAGATCAACATCCCAGCCCAGATAGCTCTTCCACGTATTAAATAAATATCATCGGTGAATCGTATGGAATTAATGCTTAAGTTTGAAGCGCCATCTGTATTTACGAATAACTGAATGCATACATATCTAATTAATATTAGTGAGCTTACGCAGCAGGACGGGAAAGACAAGAAGACGGCAAACCTTGCATTTTGTGTGACAAGTAAGCGTGACAACAATTTTGTTTCAGAAACTTTTCCGCCGAACTTCACCCTCCTTTAAACCGGTCTTTTTGTCAAAGACCAGAAAACACATAAGCAATAGGCCTATCACGTATCTCACACACAAGCATTTTGCTGTCCTCTTCACCCCCTTTCTGCTGTCTTGTTGTGTAAACTCACTATTTTGCATACATGTACAGGCCTTTAACCTGATGGAGATCATGGGAGACAACAGAAGAATAATATATTAATATATTAAGAATAAAGACGTAGCAATTAAATGAATATAGAATGAAAGTCAATACATTTAATAGTATCTTTTGTCTTGCCAAGCTCCTGAGATTGGTCTTTCGGGAGGATTGACTGGAATATCTGAAGAAATTGAAATAAAATAAATAAAATAAAAACTACCAGAGTGATCAATTCACTTTTAACTTCTCTTCTCCTTTCTAATCATATTTAAGTTGTCACGCTTGACCAATTTTTCCTGTGAGCTGGTTGGCAAACAATATCTGCACAGAAACTGGACTCTGAACTTTTGGTCAGTTTAAGATAATTGAGCACTTTGGCAGTTTGTTGGTTGGTGTTGCAGATGAGTGCAATCACAAAATGATGAAAGACAAAAGATGAAAAGGACCTTGAACAATACCCAAACAACGACACGATAGCTAACCAACAATAGTTTCTGCTAAACCAAGAAACATCCATATATTTGGTTAATTTCCATATCCATAAAAGCAAATGTATAAAACTTAGACATCTTCAGTTCTGACCTAAACATCTTAATGGAATTGGAACATCTGAGTTGAGAAGGAAGTTTGTTCCAAAGGTTTGGGGCATCATAAAAGCTCCTGTACAGTTTGTTTTAACAAGATGATCACCTGTCTCTAAGACAGACATCTTTTGGGACCAACCCTGACAGTCTGTTGCAGAGATGAGTCCGGTTAATGGAGTGTTGACGTGGCACCAGTAATGCCATATAAGAACAAAAGCTGAACTGATTTGCAATGAATATGCATTTGTTTTACTTGTGCAAAACAGTTAAAACTAGGATGATGTAATACAGCTGTAATAATAATTATTAATCATTCTAGCTGGTGAAAATTTTTTCAGGCTTGTACATCCTAGTTGCATCTTGCACAATTGTTCGATAATTATTGTTTCATTGTACCCTGATGATGCTGGGGTATTTCCTTAATTTTATTTAGATTGGTAGACAAAGAACCACTTACTTTGTGGGTGTGCTACCACAAAATCCTTATTTTGTTTTACTCAGTCCTGATGATTTTCTCGACAGGGTTTATAGAGAAGTGCCTTCGTCCTGGAGACGAGCTGATTGGATATAGTGCATGGCAGAGTCCTCATCTTCCTACTTTTAGTCTTAAATGTAAGGGCATAATATAAAGAACTAATAGGACTATATTGCACTTGTAAAGGTACTAAAGGCAATATTAATGCCCCTATAATATGCCAACCCTATTGGCACCTTACAACCAAAGCCTCTTTTTGTCTTATTCTTAATTGAGGAAAAGAAAAGGAGGCTATACTTTAATTGCATCGATCAAGCCTTTAAAGTTGCCGCAGCCCATTCTGTACTAGTCAGTTTTGTTTTAGCGCTTGTCAAACTGGTTTTTCAAGTGCACGCATCCGTTTATTGATATACGGAAGGTAATAACTGAGCCTAATTGTACCAATAAGCGACCTTAAACATGCTTGGAAACATATAAAAAGATGAAACCATGCACCGTAGTGAAACCTGAATTAACTTAATTTACATGGATTTGTAGACTTTCCATTACTCGTATCTTACCGAAGACTTGTCCCGCGCTAAGCTGAGGTCAGGTTCTTCTTTCATTTTCCTCCAGTGGTAAATAGATTTCTAGCAAGCAAGGCAAATCAAAAAATCTCTCATCTAAGTAGAGTATGGTTATAACTCAGGATACCAAATTGAACAAATAATGTTGCATGATCACCTGCATGTGCATTCACAAGATTAGTGTGACATCAGATGAATTTTAACGTACATTCGTATTAGTATGCAGAACAAAGACATCCTGAGAACTTGAACAGATTTTGGAAAAACCTTGCAATACAGTTTATAAAGTACTGTTAACCACCCCACCAACAATAAGTTGGTTTTGCTCACCTGCACCCTAATAAAGTGTTGTTTATTATCCCTACAGCTCCTTTTCAGCCACCTACAGAAGAGTGGCAGAAAATTTTGGGTGATATCAGGAAGGGAATTGATAAGATTGATAATGACTTTTCCACAACATGCCAGGGGAAAAAGGTTTGTCATTTTGATTGTTTAATTTAACATCTTAATATTGAGCAAGTGTGTGATAATGCTAACATTTCTCTTATATAAATTTATGCATTGTTAGACAGTTGCTGTCATTCACATGAAAGTAAAACTTAGTATTCCGGACAGAACAAATAAAGGGTTAACTTGCTCTATTATATCAACCTCAGCAGAACTGGACTCAGTTCAGGCTTTGATTGCCTCCACAAAATGTGTTGAGTAGGACTTTAATTGCATGGTTTTTCATTACTTTTTTTAAGAGTAAAGGGACAGTTTCATTCCTTTTTGCTTCTATCCCATTTTAGTTAAATACCATTTTCTTAATTACTTTAAAACAAATATAAATTTAATAGTTAAACAATTCTAGCAAGAAAAACAAACAAAAAAACCTGATTTTCATGATCTCTCTGAAAGAAATGCTTTGTGAAAGACACCTTCTCTTACTGTCAGTTAAGATGCAGACACTTCTATTCTCCCAGCCTTTTAATACGTATAAATTATTTTCATGGATTAACATTTTTCATGTGTAGAATTGAATAAAGATGGAGATATAAATTAAAACACAGAGTTATTTGATGTGCAACCTTTTTTTATTCAAATGTAGCAAAACATCAATCCTCAATATTTATATTGTTCTGTCCAGGGATGTACTAGAGATAATTTATACCTGCCAAGTGTCATGCCTGCGGATCAAAAACTTCAATGTGACACCTACTCACGCGTGGTAGAACAGTTTGAGCCATTACATTACTAACTGACACATTTTGAAAAATATACTAACTATTTAAAGAAACTGGAACCAATGAGAGAAAAGACAAGTCCTTGTGAATGATCAACTTTCTCCAAATTCTCTTATCTTGGTAGAGAAAGTCAAAGGAGACGACGTTGTGTTCCGTTGTGTTTGTGTTAGACGGAACTCTTCGGAACGTCTTTGGATATTATCGGACCCCAACAAAAAATCCTGGTACTCTCGGGATGAAAATGTCATGCCTATAAATTAAAAAAACTTGGCAGGTATAATAATATATCCCATAATAATGAGAGGCTCTCAATTTTAAACAAAAATTTTCCGACAGAAATGATTCCCTTTAATACAATTTTGAAGCTTAACCCATTTGCCCCTGGAGATTTTGCAGACAAATTTGTTTTGAAGCCACTTGAACTAAAAGTTAATTACCACAAAGCCGTTTACAGGTTGTACACTTCACAGCCTTCTGACCCAGATGCAAAATATCAGCTTGCGCAGTTTGGTCATGCGCGGAAAGCAAAAAAGAATGGTCAAAAAGTGTTGACTTTACTTTTCGCTTTCTCTCCTCCACTCTTTTTTCAGTTTTCTTGTCTCATTTTTTTCTCTTGTTTGGCATTAAGTAGGCTTCATTTTGGTGGGAAAAGTTTTTAGGAAAGCTTTTAGGAGTTTTCAGGAAAGATCTCTTCACTCTGCACAAGTTAGCAGACAAAGTTGTCCTTGACCATTAAGACTGATGACATCACAAGCGGTAGAAAGGACGCGGATCCGCAGGGGTGGTTACGGGTGGCTCAGGGGCGAATGGGTTAAAGATCATATAAAATTTGAAAAAAATTATTCAGAGCAGGGCTGTCAAAAGTTTTTAAGTAGAAGGCTGATACTAAAAAGTAGGTAGCTTTGGAACTTGCACCTAAGGCACAAGTTCTTGAGGGCTGAGGCATCTAGGGACGTTTTGAACTTTATAGAGTCACAGAAATTGCGTTTCCAGGAGTTTTTGAGAGGTATTTTCCACCGCTGATGCCATGTTGTTTTGTCAGAATATATGCAACATTGGGAACAATGCTGTTGAAACGTCCCAGGCATTCCACAACATTGCACGGTTTGAAGAATTGATCCTGTTTAAATATGCGTTCAGTGTCATTCAAAACAGGGAAAGAGATGCTTTACGATAATATTTGATGGTGCTAAGATATTTTTTGTTAGCAGTTATGGTAGGAGGAGATGAAAGTAGTCGGCTAAGGATGGCTAACTAGCCAGCTGTTTTGGCCGGCTACCAGCCCTTATTGACAGCCCTGTGAGAGGTCTCCAAATAACTCGCTTATTTGTTAAAGAAGGCCAAAATAAAACCCAACAAATTAATGACTTGGTGTTGCTTTGTTACAGATTAAATACAAATTCACTGATGAATCTATGAACCCTGGAGAAGGAATTTGTGCTGCTGCTAAAAAGGAAAATGTTGATATGATAGTTATGGGAACAAGGGGATTAAGTACGTTACGTCGCACCGTCTTGGGAAGTGTCAGTGATTACGTTTTACATCATACAAACCTCCCTGTAGCTGTGGTACCAATGCCAGAAGAGCAACCTGCTGAATGATCTGTAAAGGCTAATGTCTCACCACGTAGTTGTTCAAGCTTTCAATTACGTCACTTCTGATATAGTAAAATAGTAGTTAAATACAGGAACAGTCAATAAGTCAATGAGACAGTAATCAAATACTTTTTCCAGTGTGTGTAGAAAGTGTGTGTGGGGGCGGGGGGGGGAGGGGACTCCCATATTAAAGTGATGAGGACACTCATTGGAAAATGAAAATGAAGCCCCTAAGGGAGACCAATGAGAGTGTGGCTTAAAGGAGAACATACTAAAACAGATGTAATAACATGTAACCCTAACCCAATTTCCTCATGCATGGCCCTAAGCGATACCTGAATGGGCAAATACAGTGACTTTCCATGCCAAACACCCTAAATGAGACCAAAATCGGCAATTTACACAACCAAGCGAGACGATGAGCATCCTCATCACTTTTATATGGGAGTGCCCCCCCGCCCCCTGGGGTTGACTACTAGTAATACTTAGACTCTCACTTCTGGATATGCATAAGGAAAAACTATTTATTGAAGGGGCTTGTGGAAAAAATCCTAGTCGACTCTTGATGTTGTTCAGTGCAAATTCTTTTTTTTTGGCTCTTTAAGCAAACACTGAGAGGTTTATATTCAAAAGGAGAATCCCATAGAATTAGCTTGGGCCTTTTTTTACAGGTACCCCTTGAGCTGCTTACAATGTAGGCAAAGATTTTAGTCACTTTTTGATAATTAAAAGCTCAGCTGAGGTTAAGGACATCTTTTAATGTATCTGTATGATTATAATTACTGCTGAATAATAGTAACACGTTTTTTGTTACAGTTAGCAAAGCAGTAATTGAGTAAACAAATACGGCAGTCTATTTTTGGTGCACTGCTTGAGCCTTAGAAGAGTTTTCAGACTTTTCACTAAGAAATAGTGAGTTCTTATCAAAGAGATCTTTGCCTGTGACTACTTCAATTTTGCGCTCTATGATGACAAACCAGTGAATTCTTTCTTGCCTTACTTTCCCAATGGAAAAACTTGATAACAATATCAGACTTAACTGGAATTTCTGGTATGCATAGAAGACACATGCATGAGAATGTTTTTGGGGTTTATAAGTTAGTGATGTTGAAACTAAAACTTTTTTTATCACTGAGTTAAATATTTTTTTCTTGAATGTATTGCTCCGGATTTACATGTAATACCTATACTTCCCTGTTATGGGTCATTGGTTTGAACCCACACCCCTCTGGAAATTCCAGTTAAGCTTTACACTTTCCTCGCAACATGCTGGCCTCGTTTCCATGGGAAACAAGGCCAACCCCTCGCAATCCTTTACCCATTGGATGGGTATGGAAATTCTCTGGAACCACACAACGCAATATTACAAGAAAGCAGACTGCTTTTAAAACCTCCTGGATTTTGATACGAATTTGCACACTTTTGTAGAAAAATTATCTGTTACACCAATTTTTAGTAAATATGATTTAGAATTAGTTGCCACAGTTGTAAGCTGAAATGAATGCAACTTAAAAATTTTGTCACCACCAATAAAACTGCTTAGTTTGTACTCTACTTTTTTGGAACTGTTCAGAATAAAGAATGGTGATCAGTATAGTGCTTTTTAATTCTGTGCTGTCATTCTTTACAGAATTCACTTTGTGAGGACAGTGTCAGTCAAATGTTCCTTTAGTGTCTGGTTTGGGGTGTGGAGGGTCTCTTTTCATTTGGCCTGAATGGGTAAATGCTGCTTAACAGTATGGACAGTCGCAGTGGCGGATCCAGAACTTCAGATAAGGGGGGGGGGGCGGTCATCCAGACCCTGAGATAAGGGAGGGGTCTCCAAAAACATTTTTTTCAGCCCTTTGGGCCTCAGTTTGGTCTAAAAATAAGGGGGGAGTGGGCCCCTCCCCTGGATCCACTACTGAGTTGGCGGTCTCGAGTCTAGACTTCGAGCAGTCTCTTTTTTGCTAAAAAACCTGTGAGCAAGGGCAATATGTGAGGGTGCGACACACCATGTGCTGATCGCAGCTTCGTTGCTTGCTCTATTTAGTGTTTTTTAGTATCTTTATTAAGCTCACACGCGAGTGAGATGACGGGGACGAGGCAGTGTCCAAGGCATTCAGAAAGTCGGAACAGCACAAGGTTTACTTGTTGGGGATTTGGTGTAAAATTCTGGCG